CTAAACAATAACTGCCTGTGTGCAGCTTCACTAATTTTAACTAATTATATAAAGAAATATACAATATATTCACATATAATATGTGAATATTAAAAAGTATTGGAGAAGGATGGGAGATTAAAACATAAAACATGTGGAAAAAGAAACTTAAAAATTTAGTATTAATGCGACTTTGAGCTGGTAAAAATTGATTCCGATATATTTCTAATTCCATATATATACGCACATAGCACAAAACATGCTAAGTATATGCATAAAATATATGAATAAACGTTATGGTATATTCATCTTTGCATATACATTCCTATTTATTTAATATTCTTATGGTGTATGAATATAGTATGTACAAAGAGTCATGTATACATTTTGGGTAACAGAGAGTATATGCACGTATTTATTCTACTTTCTGCATATACAAAGTACATTCTATATTAGTATGGAATATAGATGGAATGATCATATATTTTTGTGCTATGTGGGTAAAGAATGTTCACAAATATATGTATGCATGTACATATATTTTTATACATAAATGCATTTTAGTATACTCTTTAGGCATGGTAAATTTTGAGACATTTAATTTTATGTGCAAACAATTTATTTATGAATAGTCAAATATGCAGTTCTCTATCAATTTGACAATACCATGTTTTTCACTGAAATATCATTTGTACATCAGTCAAATTGGACCTTTAAAAATTCACAACAAATACAAAGTTCTCTTCACCCACACTGAATTAATATTATGACTGTATAATATTATATTACAGGCACAATTATTATTATTGTATTTCTTATTACAATATTACAATTATTACGAAAAATAGTTTTTCCTTCAATAAATCTGAATACTTAAACTCTACATTAACGAGTATTAATTACATTAAAAAGCTGCAATAATTGCTTGTATCACCAAAAATTATCAACAGATGTAGTACGGTTAAAGGTTTTAAATACTGGTAAAAATTCTTCCAAGGGTGATTTAAAAAATACATTTTTTTTATAATATCCATAGCTAGTTAAGCTTTTGTAAAAAATATTATTTAAGATTTATTAATATTGTATTAACAAAATTATATAAAATTGATATGTATGACTGTTGTACCAAATGCCCTATTGATTTAAAGAAAGGGCATAAACTACCACTTAACATAACAAAGCAAATTTTAAAGCTAAGTATTAAAACTATTCAAAGATTTTAGTCTCTTTCTATGATCTTTTTATATCATGCCCTCTAGGCACCATTTGCCATAAAAGTGGGCCTAGCACCCACACGTGAGGCCATGATATGCCCACTGAACCACATTCACTCAAATACCTTCTGTGTTTATGGAATTTGGATGTCATGATGTAAATAATAGGAGCAGACTGCAAAACAGAGGCAGGGGCAGGTCGTACCGTACAGTATTTACCTTGTAAACTTCTTTATAACAGCTCCATGTTTTCCCGCGTTTGTTTGTCTCCACCAATCAATGTTTGGTGTTTTTTTCTACGACACGTTTCGTCGTAGCGAATTTACCAATTACTCGACTGGATTTACGTATGACAGTCTCACATTTTACATAACAACACATAAAACGTCATCCAAATCACTATTTCTGAAGGCGCGGGCTGCCTCGTCACTCTTTCCGTTCGCTAACGCATTGCACTAAACAGAAAATATGGAATATGCAAAAAATTTCTTTATACTCGCCGTAGTATTGATTGAAGAAATTTTGCAGAAAAAAAATTGGAAAAAAAGCGAAAAAAGTTACAAAAAATGCGCTGCCGACCCAGATTACTTCTAGACCATTGGTAAAATATTTGCAAACTATTTTTTTTTTTCGTAATCAGAAGGAAAATTTATCACCACGTTTTTTTTTGATTTTCGAAATTTAGTGGATATCTAGTAACAAATGTACTACAAGTTCTTGATATTACTTTATCACATTCTCCATAAATAATTGACAAATTCAAAAAGTCTTCATGGGTGTAATTTAAAAGCCGTATCATTTTTTGACATAAGAGAATAACTGACATTACTGACGGTTTCTAATCATAGTAAATTTGATAACATTTTTACAAAAATTCTTGAATTTCTAAGAAAATCGCAAATATTTCAAAAAGTTGTAACTTAAACCCCCACAATGGTTATATCAGAAAAAAGGAATTTAATTATACATAACTTGATGTAAAAAAAATACAGGGTGTTCCATTTGACTTAAGCAAGTTTTCGCGGTTTGAAGTTGACAAAATGTAACGTCAAAAATGGAACACTTGGTATACTATTATTGAATTTCTTTAAACTGTAGAATGTAGCTCACCTTATGGTCTTTCTGAATGCCAAAAAGCAAAGGAGTATCTTTTACACGAAGAAAGTTATAAAGGTTATTGTAAACCATTACACCTGTCAAAATTTTTTAAAATGTCAAATATCTCTGAAACGGCTGGGTTTAGGCATAGGGTATCCTACATGCTTTTGCTCTTTTCGTAAACCCTAAAATATATCCATTTAAAATAAGCAAGTTGGTATCGACTTCCGATATAACCAGAAGTGGCAGATGCTTGTAATTATTTTAGGTGGACTGACCACACTGCCATTAGTAATACAATAAATTTTCAAAATTTTCTGGTGCGTACTTTTCTCTATATCAATCGATGCAGTTCCTGGTGAGACACCCTGTATTCATCTACAGTTTGATATTCACTGTTCACCAATCTTACGCTACAATCATCCAACAATGTAGTTGTAAATACGTGGCTTATTGTGTACATCTATGTACAACTGGTCTGCTGACAATTGAAACGAATAAAATTATTTATGATTTTGACTCTGAAAAAAGTTGCAATCTTACACCGGCCCGACTATAGCAAAACTAACGCACTGAATAAAAAACGAGGGAGCAGAGCAGAAGACGTATGTAGCGTCACGAAAAACTGACTTTTTAGGTTGTTATCCGGGCACCATAAATCCTATAGATATTAAAGCGGTTGTGTTATGTGCTCACAAGGTTTATAACGGGGTTTAAGATAAGCCTACAAGTTTCGGGCAATATGATAAGTTCAATGAGGCTTAAAATATACTCCATCAAGAACAAATCGATATACTTAAAGAGCAATTCATAATTTAATATGCATTTTAGGGCAAAACAACGGTCAGCCTTATTGGGAATGTTCCGAATTTAACAAAAAAAATGTGATTTGTATCTAATAGAAATGTTTTATAATAATTTACTAACATTGAACCATATTATGGGCGGATGCTACCGATTTATTTGTCACCGGAAAAAAAAATTACCCATATATTTTTTTAAATTTGTGTTTAAGAACATCTAACTCACGTTTTACAATAAACTTAGCGTGGTTGAAAATTTTAGCTCACTAGGAGGAGCCCTAGTACTTCATTATACCATCTATAAACTGAATTGTCCTCAGTTGTTGCCATATGTTCATTTTATAACTATGTATGAGGCCCATATAAAATATCGTGTGTGGATCAAGTGAGCGTAGCACTATATTTATTTGCATGTGCCTTTCAAATATTAATGTGGTACTTATCCTAAACCAAGTATGATACTCTAGAGATACTCTATGAGTAAGGATTAGGACAATTTATTAAAACTTGAAAGTTTTAATAGCATTTTTAAAAAAGGTACGTCAGCCCTTCTCTAGGTGGGCTGCTGTACTCTTACAAGGGCTTTAAATCAGTTTTATTGAGTTCTTTCAGACTATTTACATTTTTATAAGTAGTCTTAGAAATAAGCTTTGAGGATATTTTATAGAACATTTTAAAATAAAAATGTTACTTGGGTGCCTAGGGACGCAAACAATATTCTCTCTCCAACACGGCATCGCTCATCGGTGCCAATAAAATTCTTGGCGGTTGACGATCACTCATTGGTGCTCGTTTTACATACAAAAGATTAATTAGTTAATGTGTAAGTACACCATCAAAAATTAGAATTTATTACTATTATATTACGCGTTTTTCGGAATATACTAATAAATTTAAAAACTCGCCTCTGGGATGACATCCAAACTTCCTATTTATAAAAATTACACACTAGGTTTCACATAAATACAATTATCGAATCAAATACTTTGGAAATATTCCACTTATTTATTACCACTGGATACTTTAATGACTAGATACTTATGCTTGTCTTTACATCATTATTAAGGCATTTGGTATATAACACTTGGTTTTATGCTGATCATCAGAAAAAACTTCCAAATATAATTTATTTAGTGGAAAAAAAACAGGACAACATAAACTCAGAAATTGCAAATTTTATCCCAAACAAATTTTTATAACCTTACACACGAAAAATGTGTTCAGGTATTTTAGCCCTGTTGACCTGTTATCTAGTCCTAACCTTTCTTTAACAAGATTTCAAAGACACGTTCAGTTAAATCGAAAACTCGTATTTTTAAATCACCCCTACAATACCTTCCTCGAAACAAATCCCACTTCAAATACAAGGGAGCAAGTATTATGTACAACTAAAAAATAAAATATACAACTTTCTTCCTTGGAATACTTAGAGTGGATATCCCTTATTCTTCAAATCCGAAGTAGATTTGAGTATTCTATACAAGTTCTATCATATGTAATGGGGACTCCCATGCGATCCGGTACAGAAGACTGTACTAAACCGCAGTGGGAGTTCTCGACTGTCAATGCCACTTGGCCTTCTGGGCAAAAATATCAGCTCGAAGGTTTTGTGCGAAGCAGATGCCCAGAATCTAGTAAAAAGAATGTTAATTGGTATATTGAAATGAAACATTACAGCAACAACATGCAATGCAAAACTGGTAAATTCCATGAAATTTTACTTGTCAAGTTAACATTTTAAAAGTCATTAGACATGCAAAACTAGGTTTATGATTACAAATGTTTTTTAATATATGTAAATTAATTAAACATCACTAGAGGCAATACTACCCCCTGTATATCAAATGGTACCTTGTGCGAGAGACAACGGACACACCGATTATCCGGGTATGCAAGGATTAAGTTCTACTGCTCGACCGGGGATCGAACCCGGAACTCCAGGACAAGAGGCAAGCGCTCTTACCGCTCGACCGAGACCGAAATTTTATTTTTTGGGAACTTAGTAAGTAAAGCTGGCAGAAAAGTGCGGCGGGACATTGGCGTACGCATCATAATAAGCGTAATAAAAGAAATTAACTAGTAACAAAAGCAATAAACAGTTACAACAATGAACAATGTATGCACAACTTATCCTCTTAACTTAACAAGTCTGGTTATCACAAACTGGCGAAGCTCTGTAAAAACTTTGCAGCATCAGGAATGTTTCTATGGTTGTCTCCGTGAGTGATGTTTGCTGTGGTGAAAAAATATTCTTATATTTTGAGAATGACCGTTCGACATCTACTGATGTAATGCAGGCATACTTAAAATAGTCTTTGAACGCATTTAACGGATCTGGAGATGCACCATCAGTACCATCACAAATTTGTTTTAATCTGATAAAACCGGTGTCTTACTGTAACACACGTGCAAACTTTTCTGTAACGCGCTCATTTTTTGCGTCACCTATAGCGTGTAACAGTCGATTTATTTCGTTTACTATTTGCAGTGGCTCCGCTACGACTGTTTTGTAAGTTTTTTAGGACATCGTGTAATCTTTTATAGTTTTAGTGAATAGTTTTTAAAACTGTTTCAACGGAAATATCCTCCAATTTTGTCTGGCTTTCCTTAATAGCTGCAGCCTCGTCAGGATTGTAGTAGCACAACTTTTATTTGTTGTAAATATTCAGCATAATAAAAGGCTGCCTTCAACCATGTACCCCAACGGGTAAGAATTGGCTGTGGTGGTTCGGGAATACCGGAACACCACTTGCGCCAAAACGTTTAGGATATTTAAGAAACACTTTTCTTATACTTGCACTTAATGCATCTACCTCTGGGAAACCTTGTCGAATAGTTTCTGCCACAAGATGTAAAGCATGCTTTACATGTAACATGTACCAACCTACAACGGTGTTCTTGAAGACAACGGTGTTCTTGAAGACAACGGCCTAACAAACACATTGTCGCGGCACCATCGGTCACAAACATCAACACTTGATTTGTTGGCAGGTCAAATTTTTCTTGCGTCTCCAGCACCACCCGCGTAATTGTTTTACCAGTACACTCAGTTAGTTTTTTGCTAGCTAGTAACAGACATGTCGGTTTAAGAGGGTCCAGTACACGTACTATAGCATTTAAATTAGAATTGTTTTTACAATCTGTCGTCACGTCAACACATAACCACAGCCGTGTTTTTTTAGTACACATTCTCGCGGCTTGATTCGGTATTTGGTATTTGTCCGCCCGTCGTTGCCCCTAAACATCTGATGTCACACTATTGAACCGCCGCACAACTTACCAGCTTTAATAATAAGTAAACTGCTCTTAATTTTCAAGACCCATAAAACATTTTAATGAAAAAAATGTCATGCAATAATATTTTTAATGGCATCAACAGATGGGTAACAAAAAAATATACAACAACTATAATCAAGGCTGAGTGTTATAAATATTAAAATTTCATGTAAATTTTATCTCAATCTTTAAGAAAATAAGACTATTAGAATACCACTGATGCTGATTACCTTGACATTCAATTAAACCAAGTTTTGTAAAATATGCAAATAAAGCCATCACACATAAAACCAAAATAATATTTGTAGCAGAATTAATAAAAAAAAATACATGACCACATAGGCAAAAAAAACACTTACTTGGAAAAACAAAATAACAAAAGTGCAAGATGCTATAGAAATCATATTTTTTTCTGTCCATTCCTCTATGGCTTCTAAGCAGCCTTGTTCGTTTATTATTTTTGTGACATCAAAAGTCTGTAATGGAAAAGCAAAAAAAAAACAATAACATTCAATAACAGCAGTAATTTTGAAAAGCTACTACAAATTTGTTTTTGCCTGCTAATACAATTATTAATTACTATATTATATACCTGCATAGTATACAGCCAATTTTAAAATTATTTGATGTATAAAAAAAAATAACGAAAAAAAAAATAATAAAGAGGATATTGAATTTGTAATTGATTACCTCAAGTACAAGTTACAGAATAAGGTTTATTTATTTTATACAAAAGGATTTAGAAAATATACCCACAGAAATTTCTCTAAAAATATCTCCAAAGGGAATAAAATTAAATAATGAAAGGGTTAAATCAATTGCAAATGAGCTCTACTAACACGCCCTCAAAGGAATGCGTCGACCTACCAGTCACTCTGTATAGAATAGATCCTGGTTTTTGGGTTTAGGTTTAAAACTATAAAAAAAAATTGGGAAATCACGATTTATGGTTTATGTTATAGGAAATGTGAAACAATATCATGTAAATAAAAGTTTAACATTGGATTATGCAAAAACTGATTAAAATAATAAAAAAAGTGCGTCGTTATCTTTCACGAGAAACGTCCGAAAACCCGTAAGATATACGACAAAAACGTATATGAACAAAGTTCTAGCATAGGCAAATCGCATAAGGCTCCTGGCATGGTTACACAAAGGATATGCTGGAAAAATTCTTCTATAAAGACAGATTCAAGTAATTTGACAGCCCTTTGTCAAAAGTCAGAAACAACTTTGTAGTAGCTTTTCGATGACACAGCAGGATATGACTAAAAAAGCATTTTGTGCAACATCTACAGGCAAGAATTTTTCAAATCATGAGGTACCTGTAGCACCATAATTCCTACTTTTACTCCTGCTACAGGAACCAAATTACTTTCAATCCATTCTTCTCCTGCCCGTAGGCAACCCCTTTCGAAAATGTGCCTTTCTCCTGGCTGCGAGGCAACATTAAAATTGACAAAAAAATTATTAAGTTGCTACTATAAGAAAATTTTATTAAAAAAAAAAAAATGAAATTCACGGGAGATACAATAATGATAAGAAAGATAAGTGAAAGATATTTTAAATTCATTTGTTGACCAGGTGTTAGGACTAAACTGACAAACCTTGCAAGTAATTACTTAAACAATATTAAAAAATATATAAAGTTACCTAACTCCTAAAATGTATTTTTAGGTTGGTAGTTAATAACAGCATATTTTACATTAGAAATTACACATTATGTAATAATTACGACACACCAGTAAATAAGTAGTTCTAATGGCGAAATACTATGTTTTTCTTATAGACGTTTATTATTGAAAATTTTGATTTGGACAAGGGGAACAGCTTTAGAGAACAGAATAAATTAATGAGAATACAGACTTCTAGATCTCGAATATAAATTTTGGAGACACTAAAGATGATGTATCCCGTTCAGATTCATTTCCAATTTGTATATGAACCATTTTTTTAAATATTGTGTCCGGAATAATTTCCTAACTTGCATAAAATATAAAATAGGTAAAAAGTTATGAAAGACAAAGATTGTTAAATACAGAGTGTCTCACTTAAAGTGTAACAGCATAATTCTTTTTGTTTTTTGTCCGATTTGAATAAAATTAGTCTCAAAAGATAGAGGTCACCAAGGTCTATTTAAGACCACAAAATCACTTTGCATCTTTAAATGCAAGTCCATCTATGATGCTAAATTATATGAAAGAAATCAAAAAAATCATAGTAATCATTTTTTTAATCAAAAAATTTTATTAACAAAACTTCTTCGAAATCATTCAAAAACCCTGAATCCGAAGTTTTGATGAAAAAAATTCCAGTCCCAAATTTCTTGTTTTGATAAGCATAGCGACTCCTTTGTTTCTACTAAAAGACAATTTTGTAAATGTCAGATTAGTTGTCAAGTAAATTTGTTGGCATTCTGTCTGATTTTTTGTATTCTAGCATATTTTATTTCAAATGAAATACTTACAACTGCGGAAAAAGTGGAAATTGTTAGATTAGTTGGTGATAATTCTTATACAGCGAGGGAAGCTGCTACAGAATTTAATAATCGGCATCCAGATCGACCCCCAATAGACCATGTAAAAGTTTGGCCAATTAATAATTTATTCAATAGAGCGGGCAAAGTGTGCAACAAATAAGAACAACGTGTGAGGGATCATGTTAGAGATGCAGAAATTCTTCAGTTTGTGAGAGAAAATCCAAGGTAGTCTAAGAGAATGTCCACAATTTTAAATGTACTCAAGGATATAATTTGGCAATGCCTTCGTCGAAATAAATTACATCCCTTCAAGCCTGTTTTCTTACAGACATTAGAAGGAGATGAAGAAAGGCGGCTGGAATATTGCTTTTGGTGTCAGGGAGACTTTTTGAACAACTCTAATTTTTTTTTAAATATTTTATTCTCAGATCAAGCGACATTTACAACTAATGGCCCAGTTAACTCTCAAAATACTCGAATTAGTCCATTGAAAACCCTCATTGGGTTGTAAACTGTCGACGCCAGTATTCAGAAAAGGTGAATGTGTGGTGTAGTATTTTGAATGAACAAATATTTGGGCCATATTTCTGAGGGAAATTTAAATGCGGAACGTTTTCTAATTTTTTTGCAAACTGAATTTTCAATCAAAATTAAAAACTTGCCCTTTATTGCATACAACAATCTGATATTTCAACTTGATGGAGCCAGAGCCTCAATCCACAATGCAATGGAAGTACGGAATTGGCTAAACGACAACTTTCACCGAAGTTAAATTGGAAGAAATAGTCCTTTTATTAATTGGTCTCCGAGGTCACCTGACCTCAAGCCCTTGGACTTTTTTTATGGGGGTTTCTAAAGAATGAAGTCTACAAAAGGCAGCCACGAAAAAGACTACAAATGGGAAACCAGATTAGGCAAGCTTGCGCTGAATTACACCTGCAACCCTCCGAAAAGTTATGAATGACAACAGAAAGCGAATTGAGGCATGCATAAGGGCTGATGGAGATTTGATAGAACATAATTTTTAATTCTTTTGGTTGTATTTATTATTCATTTGTGTAAATTGTTTCAAAAAAATAAATTTAGAAATAATTTTTATTAAAATGCCTAGAATGATTTTTTCATCAGAATCTCATTTTTTTAGAATGTAACTAAACTTCGGATTCAGGTTTTTTTTTTTTATAATGTAACTAAACTTCGGATCAGGGTTTTTGAGCGATTT